TTTATATATTATATATATATATATATATATATATATATATATATATATATATATATATATATATATATATATATATATATTCCCACATACAAACACACAACAGTCACATTTACAATAAAAATAAATTAATTGAATGGTTTTTTGTAATTTTATATTTTTTGTAGTTATTGACTTGAAGGGAGTTTCCGAATTGGAGTTTTTTTTTTAAATTTAAATGTGATATGTATGTAGGTTTGGTCAGTTGGTTGGTTAACATAACGGATTGAGTGAAGTGAATGAATGAATGAAAGAACGAACGAACAAGCGAACGAATGAATGATTGACAGATTGACAGACGAATTGAATGATTCACAGACGGGTGAATGAACGAACGAACAAAAAATAGATGCATAAGCAAATGAACAAAAGAATAAATTAGTAATTGGACGAGTTAATAAACGATCGTACGAATGAATAAATGAATGAATGAATAAATAAATGAGTGAGTGAGTAATTGAGTGAATAAGTAAATGAATAAATGAGTGAGTGAGTAATTGAGTGAATGAATGAGTGAAGGAACAAATAAAAGAATGAATTTGTTTTCTTCATATCGGCGTTTCCTTGATTGATCGCTGCTTGACGTATGAGGAGTTGAAATCGGGAAGCGGGCCAGCAGCTGACGTCATAGTTGTTGTTGCTGTTGTTGTGTAGTCGAAATGTTGGCGACGCGACTGTTGGCTGCTGCTGTTGTTGTTGTTGTGAGGTTCGATGAACATCGTATCTTGGTCAACATCCGCAGTCGATATAACAATACCTGAGGTTGTTTTTTTATATAACTGTAATTAAACATTACCATAATAATTAAAATAATTATAACTATCATAATAAAAATAATTATAATTATGACAAACTCTTTCCTATTTTCCTTCTCTTTCTGTAATAGCCCAGGCATTTGAAGAGGATGATGAGGAGGAACGCGCTAAATAGTACGAGGGTCACTCCGCCTAACATTACCGCACTGGTGTCGTACGACTGTCTCTGATTGCCTATTGGGTCTGTGTGTGTGTTTGTTTGTGTGTGTTTGTTTGTTTGTGTGGTTGCGAGTATGTGTGTTTGTCTGTATATGTGTGTGTGTGTGTTTGGTGTGTGTGTGTATGTGAGTGTATGTGTGTGTGCGTGTATTGATTAGTTGTGAATGTTGTTGGATGAATCATTCGACAGATGCCGGTTTAAACAGACAGATTCATTCAAAGATTATAAATTGAAATTACACTACATTGTTAAATATACTATACAAATAAAACTAAATAAATAAAATTTGGTTACATCAGAAATTTTTCAATTTCAATTAAAATACACCCACACCTCCAGTTTCAATGGCAACGACTTCACTGGCCTCTCCCTCAATAACCAGCCCTTTCTTGACCTTGAAATGATCGTTCACGTGACTGTAACCGTCCTTAAGGGCTTCAAGGTCAACCACAACAATTGGAATAACCCGGAAGTGGTAGGTTGTCCCGCGACTAACTGTCGGCCAGTTGTAGGTGTGGTTAGTTGAAGGCACGTCTGTCAGTGTTATCCAATGGTTGTTGAGGGTTTTGTACTGGAGTTGGTAGCAGGTTTTTGTTTTAAGGTTGTTGTTGTTGTTGTGGTTGTGGCTGTAGTTGTGGATGTTGTGGCTGAAGTTGTGGCTGTTGTGGTTGTTGTCGTTCGATAGTTTGCGATGAGTATCTAAAATTTTGAGGTAATAATTTTCGTTGTTGTAGTTGACGTGGTGATGATGGTTGGATGATGATGTAATGTGATGTTCAAACGATGTTTTCAACGTTACATTGTTGTAATCAATGTTGTTGTTGTTGTTGTGGTGGTGATGATGGTGATGACGATGGTCGGTTTTAGAAGTGGCGTTTGAAGCGGCGATCAATGCGTTTGTTTTGTTGTGGCTGTGATGGTGATGAGGACTTTGCTGTGTTGAGGTCGTCGTGGTCGTTGTTGCTGATGTTGTTGTTGTTGGCTGTTTCATCTTCTTGCTGCTCGTCTGCCAGTGAGTTAATCAACAACAATTTTTCCATTTCCCATGCTAGGATGTTCGTTGTTTGTACGCTTATGAATATGCATTTGTGTATGCATCTCTGTGAGTATCTCTCTCTCTCTCTCTCTCTCTCTCTCTCTCTCTTTTATATCTATCTTTATTTTTCTCTCTCTACACACATGCATCTATAAAACAATTGAGAAGAAAGAAAAGAGAGAAAACAAGAGAGGGAGTGCAAAAGAAGAAAAGAATGGCAGATAAGCCAAAAGAAAGAAGGATATAATGAGAGAGAGAGAGAGAGAGACATAGAGAAAGAGAAAAATATAGAAAAAGAGAGAAAGGGAGTAAGAGAGAGAGAGAGAGAAAGAAAGAGAGAGAGAAAGAAAGAGAGAAGGCGCGTGCCTGTCTGTTGTTTGCTTAAATGAATTTTTAATTCAATCCCATGAAACATTGAAAGGGTTGGGCCTTATGGATGAAATTTTAAATAGCGCGAAAACTAATAATAGAATTACTACTACTACCACCACTACTACTACTACTACAACTACTACCACTACTACTACTACTACTACTACTACTACTAGTAGTAGTAGTAGTAGTAATAATAATCATAATCATGTTAATAATGGAAAGAAATTAACAGTAACAAATGTTTGTGACAATTTACTTAAAAAAAGGGAGTCAATTGAATGATTGGCGAGTTTGGATGACAATAAAGATGATGATAACACTGAAGAGGATGATGAAGACGACGATGATGAAAATTACGATGAAAGATTAAAACTGGCAAACCGATGATGATGATGGTGTAACGAAGATTACCACCAAACATTTAAACGATAAAAAAAGAAAGTATAAACCAACGCGTAGTGTCCCTTCAAGCCTCCATTCATTGCCCACCACCTCTTCATCATCGTAATCATCATCACCATCATCTTCGTTTTCTTCCTCTTCGTCGTTATAATGGCGATCTGTAACATCACCACCACCAGCACCAACATTAGCACCATCTTCACCAGAATTTTCACCGGTAAAACCAACATACTTTACCGCACCGACCCTATTCTCGTCACCGTGGATACAGTTACTTGGAAAATCCTGGGCCGAATTTGTATGCCCGTCTGTGTGACGTCGATGGAGCGTTTGGCTAAAAAAGGCGGGAGAATGCCAGGAGATGAGTAGTGACCCGTGGGAGGTCAACTTCAAGGTCAAGTTCGTTGGCCGATGGGGCTTGTCTGGCAGGGGTGGGGGTGAATAAATATTTAACGGTGATGCTGATGCTGTTGGCGATGTTGATTGTGGTGACGATGATGCGAAGACGACGATGAAAATGGGGATAGCGATGATAATTATGGGGATGGCGATGATGGCAATGATGATAGTAATGATGGATATACTGGATTTGTATATGGTGACAAGAGCTGTCGTTTAACTAACAATGAGAACGCTAATGAAGAAAAGCATGGCGATATTATTATTATCCTTATTATTTTTATTATTATTACCCTTATTATTATTATTATTATTATTATTATTATTGTTAGTTATGGTGATGATGTCGATGATGACGTCATGTAGCGATTCATTAAAATGATGATGACGATTACAAAAATGGCGGGAAAATGACGTCATTCAATAACTTTGCGCTAGAAAATTTTTTTTCTTTCCTCTTAATTAACTAAGCCGTAGAAGGGGTTTAAATATAATAAAATATAAATAAATAATAAAATAATAATAATAAAAACGAATAAATAAATACCCGAAGACCATAAATAAGCTAGGAAATGACATTTTCAAGTTCTTGTAAATATTTATGGTAATGAAAATATCCAAAAATTATCAAAATAATAATATAAATAATAATAATAATCATGAAATGATAACAAGAATAATATTAATAAGAAAACAATACTGATAATCTTTACACTAACAGAAAGAAATAAATGAACGTGATTGGATGGGATAAGCAGTTACGTCATCGAGGGTCGACTCTCCTGATTGGTTGATGAATAATTTATGAATATTAATTAGTTTTGTGAGGGCGCTAACAGTTTTTTTCTTGTTTTCAACATTTATTTAAATTTTTAAAACTAAAAAAATTCCATAAAATATGCACCAATTTAATGAGCGAATCTCAAAACCATCAGTAACTCAAGCGACATTATAAACATGAACAAACTAAGAACCACAACAACGACGACAACAGTAGCAACACAAACAACAACAAAAACAACGACAACAAAGAAGACATTAGCAACAACAGCAACAACAAACGATAAACAACAACAACACAAACAACTACACAAACAACAACAACAGCAACAACAGCAGCAACAACAACAGCAGCAGCAACAACAACAACAGCAACAACACAAACGTTTAGTCTTGGCTACAACGATATCTGAAAAAAGAACTATTTCACTGCGACTTCTAATCATCAGCATAAACTCGTATAAATGATTTGGAAGCAGGTGATTTAATGTCACTGATGTTATTGTTGTTGATGTTGTTACTAGCAGTGCTTCGATTAATGACGTTGTTGTTGTTGATGTAATTAATGTTGTTGTTGGCAGACCCATCGTCGTCCAGTTGTTGTTGTTGTGGTTATCTATAATGCGATACCTTTAATGTTTTTGAGATGTTTTCAAATTTTTTTTTAAACGAGTCTATTAAACAAAAAGACGAACAGCCTTTGATAGAATCAATCAATCAATCAATTAATCAATCAATCAACCAACCAATCAATCAACCGACCGATCGACCGACGGACGGACCGACCTACCAGAGAACGTAATGTATCGGCAGCCCAGCGTCATAGCCAGGAAGCCATGATAGCGTCACTGACGTCTCTGTGGCGTGTTGGACGTTCAAACTGTGTACCGGGTGGGGAGTTTCCACTGGTGAGTGAGTGGGCGAGTAAAAAAAAATTATTCTTTTCGCTAGAACTGAATTTATAATTATCGTAAATTAAACATAAACAAATTTAAATAAATAAAATATCGAAATAATACAACCTAACCGACAGACCAACCAGCCAGCCAGCCAGCCAGCCGACCAACCTTCAATAATAAGCAAAGTGGTAGTGACGATAACAGCCACTACATTAGCAGCCACACATTCGTACACCCCTGCATCCACCGTCCCAAGGTTGACCATCGTCACGTTACCCTCACTAAAGAACAGACGAGTGGGCGGGGGCATGAGGAGATGACCTTGCTGAGAGGGAGAGTTGAAAAGGTCAGGGGTACAAACACACCACAAACAACATACACGCACACGTACGCACGAATCGAATTATAAAAACACACATATAAATACAGACAGATATCTGCAAGTGAACACACACATACAAATAAACACACAGAAAAACAAACAAACAAACGCGCGTACAAACATACATACACACACACATACAAACATGCATACATACAAAAATACATTCACACATACATACATACATACATACATACATACATACATACATACATACATACATACATACATACATATATACATACATACATACATACATACATACATACATACATACATACATACATACATACATACATACATACATACATACATACATACATACATACATACATTCACACATACATACATATATACAAACAAACAAACAAACAAACGTACATACATACAAACATACAGACAAACAGGAAAACAACATCAAGAAGATTACGATGCTAAAAAGCTTTTAAGAGTTGGTCCTTCCTTTCCACCCATTTTGATTTGAAAATAGAGCAAAATAATAAAATAATAATATTAAAAATAGTAATAATAATAATTTGTATTCTAATAATAATAATAATAACAACAACAATAATAACGGCCACCTTTTTATAGTTCTTTTAATATTTTAATCCCACCAAAATATTTTTGAACTGAAGTTAATCCACTTTTGTAAACATACGCGCAAAAATACACACATACATAAAAATACACACATACACACACACACATAAAAATACACACAAAACACCCACACACGTACACACACACATATACATACAGAGGTAAGCGAGTATCGGCAACAGTGCTAGCAACAGATTGTTGACGGTAAAAAACCACAACAAGTTCAAGATGAACAAAACCATTTGATATCTAATCGTAAAAATACAAAACAATGTACAAAAATACAAATAACCAATAGAGACACATAAAACCAAACCACATAAACAACAGCTTTAAACGTAGACGAAAACTTAAAAAAAACAACAAAAACAGCCATACACAAACAAACAAACAAACAACAACAAAAATAGAAACATAGGCAAAAACGCAGAAAGAAATCTAATGCAAAGAATCAGTAACATCATTACGGCACGGCACGTGATAGGACTAATAACCGCATCGATCGTTACGTCATCAACTTAGTGAAGTGTACGCAACAGCAGCAGCAGCAGTAGTAGTAGTAGTAGTAGCAGCAGCAGTAGTAGTAGCAGTAGTAGTAGTAGTAGTAGCAGTAGTTGTAGTCAATATTTTTATAACATTTTCTACTCAAATCATTAAAAACATTCAAACGCCTAATCACTAGAATGCTAAAATACTTTATTAATTACTTAAGTGCTACGGAAATACTAACTTTTTTCCAAGTGATTGAGGGCCGCGGGTCACCGCTCGCCACACAGGGCATGCTCACGAATTGGGTCGGCTGGCGTTGGTAGATGGAGTCCGGACGGGTCAGAAATCGAGGGTGGTCTAATGATGAGGAAGACGATTATGATGGTGGTGATGTTGGTCTGGTGGTTGTTGATGGTGGTGATGATGATGAAGATGATGGTGATGTTGATTGTGGTGATGGTCTGGTGGTTGTTGATGATGGTGATGATGATGGCGATAGGATGAGTTTAAATCAGATTGGCCAGGAAAAATACACAAACCCAACAAGATTGTCATTAATCTACATATTTATTGCCTAGCGAAAACAACAACAACAACGCAATATATAACATAATCAACTAAAACATAAACGAACAACAACAAAAATGACCCCAAAACATGCCAACAAACCATCAAGCACTCACTAACAACAGCTTAAATAACATCAACACGAATATCAACAACAAAAGACAAAACAATCATTCAAAAAGTTAAAAACATCAACAACAAACAACCCCACAAAAACTTCCGCCAACTTACCTCTGACAAAGACCTTTACCCCACTCGATTTTTTACCCTCTCCAAGAACAGAATGAGGGATGCAACTATATACCCCCTCGTCTCTCAAGGTCACCGGTTCAATAATTAGGGTAGAACCCCTATGCAGGCGTAAGTTACGATGGTGAGAAATTTCTAGGGGGTGGTCGTCCTTGAACCACACCAATGACGTCATTGGAGGGTTGGCCAAGACGGGGCAAGGAATGTGACCGGTCATGTGGAGGGGGATGTAAAGGTAGGGTGCCATTTGTGTGACCAATGGTTGGTCTGCTTCCCGGAAGTAAAAGTTTGTATCACAATGAATGAAATAGTTATCAAAGATAAGGAAAGATATCGTAATTGTTGAGCAGCTAGGTTTTTCATTTATTTGAAATTGAATATCATTCAAACAAATTTTGACGAAATATTCGAACGTTATAGTGCATGGCGTACGTGGGTATAAAAAAAGAACAACAATTATAACAACAACAACAATAATAATAATAACACATAGCAATTTATTTAGCGCCATATAAACGATTTGTTTAGCGCCAAATAAATGTTAAGACAAGCAAGCAACTCACACGTGACATTGAGGTAGGCATCAACCTTGGCCACTCTACCGACATTGTTGGTGGCCGCACATGTGTACCAGCCATCATCATCTTTAGAGATATTGACGATGGTGAGAGTGCCAATACTATTATCAGTATCGTCGTCGTCATCATCCATGACGTTGTTGTGGTGGTGGTGGTGTTTGTGATGAGGTTTGAGTTTGTTTTTGTTTATGTTTACGTTTTTGTTGTTGTTGTTGTTGTTGTTGTTGTTTACCATGACCCGCGCTGATAAACCTGGATGGCTGTTGACGTTAAGTCGGTCCTTGTACCATCTGTCCGGTTCAGGTGTTAGTTTATTATTGTTAAGATACCACTCTTATTTGTCTCTCACTCACTCAACCCGTTCATTCACTCGCCCGTTCAATTATTTACTCATTCATTCACTCATTCATTCATTCATTCGTTCGCTCGTTCGTTCGTACGTTCGTTCGTTCGTTCGTCCGTTCATCCATTCATTCGTTCGTTCGTTCGTTCGTTCGTTCGTTCGTTCGTTCGTTCATTCATTCATTCATTCACTCACTCACTCACTCACTCACTCACTCACTCATTCACTCACTCACTCACTCATTCATTCATTCATTCATCAATCGATTAATTTATTCATCCGCTCATTCACTCACTGATATGTGACGCTGCTTGGGCGTCCTTCGGCTCTGCACGTCATTTTGACGTCACTGCCCTCCATCGACGTCACGTTTCGCGGTGGTTCCACTATGTGTACACCGTCTGCAGTATTGAGTGTAAAGTGAATACCACTACCACTCCTGCTTCTGCAGCTGCTTCACATACTACAATTGCAAATACTAGGGTTCCTTGTTTCATTTCCTACAAAAACTTGACATATTACAATACAACAGCTTGACATACTACAATTACTTCTAGGACTCGTTGTTTCAGTAGCTACTACTTTCACAATTGTTGCTACTGCAAGCAGTGCTGGCTGTTGTTATTACTACTACTACTACTACAACAACAGCACTAGTAGTAGTAGTAGTTCTGTAGCTGCTACTACTAGCATTTCTGCTACAGTTGTTGCTTTTACTACTTATATTACTGCTTAGCCACTACATTTACTGACTCTACTAATTTTATTAGAAATGTATTTGGCTAGTATAAGTATTTGATACTGCTTAATGGGCTGGCATTAGCTGCGCTAGTAATGCTGTAAGTTCAATATCGGGTAGATATTTGTGAAAATGTATGCTAGTAGCACGATAGTATCATAATTGTGAATTTGCTAAGTAAGTCTCACTTACCTGAAGATATCCAGTGTTTATCTGGGGATGAAAAATATGAGGTTGAAAGATTTTTAACTATCCGAACAAAATTATTGATATTATATCACGATAAGAATGCTGTAATAGTTTTCAATAATATATGAACCTCATAAAAAAAACTAAAAAAATGCGTAAGAAATACAAACAGAGATACAATTATACAAAAAATGTACGCTAAATACAAAATACAAGGTACATAAAAATGCCAAAAACATTATTCGAAACAACGAAAAACAAAGTAAAACCTTTAACATCCAGTCTAATATGCCTCGTGGCGCTTCCAAGATCATTTCTAAACAAACACTGGTACATCCCTGCTGAGTCCCTTCTGACGTCACCAACGATCAGACGACTTCCGTTTTGTTTTAGATTAACTTTTCGACTGTCCTTCAGCCAGGAGAGGCTTGGAGTGGGGTGGCCGTTTGATTGACAGAATAACTCCAGCCAATCACCGATGTTCTTGATGAGGTATTCGGGTGATGAGTGGGTCACAGTGGGTGGAGCTATGAAAATTATTATTATTATTATTGTTGTTGTTGTTTTTGTTGTTGTTGTTACAGCAACAACAGTAACGCATGTTTTTCACATTGTTCAAGTTTTATTTAAAGTTGTTTATTTTTCTCTTTCATGTCTTCGCTCCTTCATTAATTTATTGTGCTTTTGTTTATTTGTATATTTATTTTTATTTATGTTTGTTTTTATTTTTGTTTGCTCGTTTTTCAGTTGATTTCGGATTTTTTTTACCGGCTAACAGTATAATTAGTCCGGATATTTAGGCGCGAAAAATAAATTAGGGATGCGCGTTTCAAGGGAAATTAATCATTATAGGAGGTCCATCCCTCATTCTGAAGAATAAAAAATAAATAGAAACGAAAAAACCGAATGGAAAATTGTAAAAAATAAATAATTTGTCGCAATTTGTCATCCGTGCCTTCTGAACGAGTATGTATCCTTGCCTTGTTTGATGTTACTGATGCTAGTTTCGATATTTTTTATTATTATTATTATTGTTGTTGTTTGTTGCTGTTATTATTATTATTGTGGTTGTTTTTTGTTGTTGTTTGTTATTGTTGTTATTATCATTGTTGTTTGTTATTGATGTTACTGCTGTTGGAATTAGTGTAGTTTGTGTCAGAGTTTACAAGTCGGTTACTGTCTTGGTGTAGAATTTGTGGGTGATGGTCTTACTTGCGATAATGCCCTACCAGCTGTCATTAAGGACTCACGCACACACACACGTGCACACGTCCACACACACGCATACACACACACGTACGCACATACACAAACACGCACACATACACACAACACGCACACCTACGCGCAAACGCGCGAATTCAATTTTTTAATATTTTTTTTTCGTCTGCGTCACTCGCTCAAACAAGGATTAGAAAAAAAAATAGAAAAAAAAACAATTCGAAAAACATAACAATAAAAATAATAATAACAATAATAATAACCAGAAACAACAACAAACAAAGTAATATTTAATAATAATAATAATAATAATTACAACATTTAATAATTTTAGGTAAAAAATTTATGTAAGATAAACAAAATTTGAAGGGTGGACCCGGAGAGAGAAGTATGGAGAGGCGAGGAGGAAAAGATTTGTGTAAGAAAGATGTTGGTAAGAAAGAATATAGAATGAAAAAAGCATGTATGTAATGTTATAATCTCTTTCTAAATGAAATTTCCTTGCGACATACAAGAAAATTTCAACAATATTTTGTCGCTATTGTTGTTGCTATGTTGTTTGTTGTTTGTGATAGTGTTGTTGCTGTGTTGTTGTAGTTGCTGTTTTGTTGATATTGTTGTTGAAATTGTTGTTGCTGCTTTGTTGTTGATAGTGTTGTGGCTGTGTTGTTGATGATGCTGTGTACTTGCTGTTGTTGCTGTGTTGTTGTTTTTGTTGTTGTTGGTGTTATCAGTAATATGTCGTAGGTTTGATATTGTAGTTGTCGTAATGTTATTAGAGGTTTTGTTGCATTTGCCTTAACTGTAGTAGAAATAGTGGTAGTAGTAGAGTTACCAGCAGCACCAGCAGTAGTATTAGTAGCTGTAGTAGTAGCTGTAGCAGCAGCAGCAGCAGCAGCAGTAGTAAAATTGACGGTGGTTTTGTGGTTACAAATGTTCTTGTTAAATTTTTTTGATTTACTATCTTTAATGGCTTGCCAAAATAAGCAGGAAAGACCTTCATCAAAATTGAGTCATTGTTTACGACAGGGAGGCATTATTATTATTATTATTATTATTATTATTATTATTATTATGTTTATGATTCTTATTCTGTTTTTATTATTTTTATTATTCATTTAATGATTACGTTTTGCGACAGAACACTTGAACGGTTAACAATGCATTCATTTTTTTAACCAAATTTTTCATTCAATCATTCATCCATCCATCCATGCAGTCAGTCGTTTTGGCGTTCATTCATTTATTCATTCTTCATTCATTCATTCACTCATTCATTCACTCACTCACTCACTCATTCATTCACTCACTCACTCACTTACTCACTCATTCATTCATTCATTCATTCATTCAATCCACTAGTTCTCTAGTCTCATCTGACCGGAGCAGAGCGAGCAAAAGAAGGTGAAAAATTGAAAAATTGACTGACAAACGAAAATAATAATAATAACAATAATAATAATAACAATAATAGTAATAATAATAATAACAACAACAACAATAGCAATAGCAAAAAGTTTTTTTATGTTTTTTCAAAATTCGCTCAATCAATCTTATTTAATGAAATTGAGACCAGACTGTTGATATTGTGAATTCTTACGACGACGACGACGATGATGGTGATGATTTAATAATAATAATAAAGGTAATAATAATAATAATAATGATGATGATGATGACGACGATGATGACGATGTTAATGATAATTATCAAATTATGAAATAGTTATTTTGAGCTGCAGCAAAATTTATGAATGAGTGAATGATTAATTGATTGATTGACTCGAAAAAAATGGATGAATGAATTAATGAATGAATGAATGAATGAACAAACGAATGAATGAATGAACGAACGAACGAATAAATGGATGAATGAAGTGATAGATTGTTGACCGATTGAGTGCTACAAATAAATTTTTGACTGATTAAAAGCCTGTGAAGGTATGGTGGATTGAAAATGAAAACGTTGTGAGGTCAAGTTTACCACCATCATCATCATCATCATTATCACCATTTTTTCTCATCATCATTATTATTACTATCATTATTATCATCATCAGCAACAATTATAACATCATTATCATCAGCAGCAACAATTATAACATCATTATCATCAGCAGCAACACTTACAACATCATCATCATCAGCAACACTTACAACATCATCATCGTCTTCTTCTTCATCTTCGTCATCATCATTGCAAATTTAACATCGCCATTCTTGCTATTACCAGTGTCATCATCATCTTCATCATTGTAGCCAGTATCATAGCTCCTACCCACATTGTTATCGACATCATCATCATCATCATCAACATCAGCAACAGCAGTAGTAGTAGCAGCAGTAGTATTAGCAGCAGCAGCAGTAGTAGTAGTAGCAGCAGTAGTATTAGCAGCAGCAGCAGCAGCAGTAGTAGTAGGAGCAGTAGTAGCGGTATCATCATCGTCGTCATCGTTGAGAAAATTTTAATTAGATGGAATAAAAATTCTATTTTGGCGTGCCGACTTCTATAAATCGAACCATTTTCACACCTGTGAATACGTCATCATCATCACCATCGTCATCATTATCATTATCATCATCGTCGACGTCATCATCGTCATCGTCACCATCAATGTTATCACCTTCTTATTAATCGTTTTCATCACTATCGTTACCATCATCATCACCATCATCATAACCATCATCATTATTATTATCATCATCATCGTCGTCGTCATCACCATCATAATCATCACCATAGCCACTATCATCATCGTCATCAGGATGTTAGTTTTGCCTTCAAAAGCACATTTATATGAGGATGTTCATTATCATCATCATCATAATCATCATCATCGTCGTCGTCGTCTTCTTCTTCCTCCTCATCACATATTTATTATTATTATATCCTTTTTCAAATCGTCGTTTTATTATTATTATTGTTGTTGTTGTTGTTGTAGTTGTTGTTGTAGTAGTAGTAGTTGTTGTTGTTGTTGTTGTTGTTGTTGTAACCGTTCTTATAGTCGTTATTGATATTATAACGATTATTCTCTTCGTTATAATAACTTCTCGCCTTTTGATCATTATCAATATTATCATCATCAGCAGCAGCAGCAGGAAAAGCCGCGACAACAACAACAACAGCAACAACAACAATAATAATAACAATACCAATAATATCAACATCGCCCTTTTTTCATCTTTATCATCAACGGTATTTGGGTACGCTAGAGCATCAAAGCAACATTTACTGAATACTCTCTCTCTCTCTCTCTCTCTCTCTCTCTCTCTCTCTCTCTCTCTTTCTCTCTCTCTTTCTCTCTCTCTTTTTATCCTTTTCTGTCTGTCTCTCTGTCTTTCTCTTTTTCTCTCTCTCTCTTTTTCATCATCATCAGCATCATCATCATTGTTATCAACACCACCTTGAAGAGCGCCCGCGTCCATTTATGCACGCCAAGCTGCAGTGTAGCGAGCTGTGGTTTATAGTCGCCACTGGTGTTTGTATATGCGTGTGTACTTGTGTGTGTGTTCTTAAGTATGTGTGTTTGTGTATACATTAGTGTATAAATTGCATTTGTATGTGCGTGTATGAGTTAATGCATTTACGTTTGTGTATAAATGTGTGTATGTACGTGTGTTGGTGTGTGTGTGTGTGGGTGTATTTCTGTGTTGTGTGGTTTGTTTAATGTGTGTGTGTGCGTGTAAGTAGAGTGTGTGTGGCGTGTATATTAATGCGGTCTGTGTGACGTGTATATAGGGAGAGAAAAATAAAAATAAGAGGGGGTCCACGCTCTGGCGAACAATTTTTAAAAATTGATGACGTCCAGGTTTTCCTTTGAAGTTGATGAATTTGACGGCCGGATTCGGACGACGACGACGACGATGATGATTTAGATGAGGATGATGATGAAGATGACGATGATGATGAAGATGACGATGATGAAGAAGACGATGACGATAAGGGTGGCGATGGTGTAGATCATGATGCAGATGACGATGGGGATGGGATGACTGATCTGGTGATTGCTAGTTAAAAAGTTTTTGAACTTACGAAATTAAACTCACGCATAACCCTGGAGAAATACGGCGCTGTTGTCAAAACTTTCCCACAGACAACAATATCAACATCATCAACAACAACAGCAACAACAACAGCAACAACACCCACAAAAACATAATCAACAACATTCATTAATAATTCATCATCGTCGTCGTCGTCGTCATTGTTGTTGACATCATCGTATGAAAAGATGTGACAATCTTCTTCCTAAAAACACATCACTTCTCGCTAACTAGAACGAGCCAATATGACTTCTAGGTGACCTTTCATAACCCCAAATCAACCGACCAATCAATTAATCACCCAACCAACCAGTCAATTAACCAATCAACTAACTAA